TAGAAGTGCAAGAATGGAGCTTCTACTGGTGGAGATTCAAGTGTGCTTTGGAACTTAATGCCAGCCCCTATAAAAATCTGCACTCGACAGAGCTTCAGAAATCGAAGAGGCGCCTGCTCAGAAATCGAAGAGGCGTTTGCTTTCTCAAAAGCTGGGCTGCTCAGAGACCACGAGGGTCGATCTCAGAAATCGAAGAGGCGTTTGCTTTCTCAAAAGCTGGGTTGCTCAAAGACCACGAAGGCCGATCTCAGAAATCGAAGAGGCGCTTGCTTTCTCAAAAGCTGGGCTGCTCAGAGACCACGAGGGCCGATCTCAGAAATCGAAGAGGCACTTACTTTTCCAGCCTTGTCAGCACCTGTCACACGCACACTCAGCTTTGCGGAAATTATGGGCATTCTGTCGAAGACTTCTGGTGAAGTAGAAAGCACATGAGTCTTACTGTTCAATCACCCACTTCCCACACGCAACAGTAGCTCATGGGTACCACAGATAACTTTGCCAAAGTTCTCTGCCAAAGTTGAGCACGTGAAGCTTGCAGCTCCCATTACATCGCTCTGACCAAGAAGGGTAAAACAATAGCAAAGAAACAGCACTAACAAAGTTTAGACACATAAATTTTGAAGGTCTAGCTACCATATTATTACCCACAAGGGTAAAGGAACAGTATCACTGCTGGATAATTGGAAAGTCCCTGTGTGTCAACCTCTGTGCTTCGTGGCAAGGTAGACTAGCAAACATGCCCAACCTTTACTCACATTCAAGAAAACACTCCCAACAAGATTGCTTGCTCCAAAATCGAAGAGGCACCGTCCTCCGAATCTCGAGAGCCAGACTCCCAACATGACTACTTTCTCAAAAATCGAAGAGAGGGTAAAGGAACAGTACCATTGCTGGATAATTGGAAAGTCCCTATGTGTCAACCTCTGTGCTTCGTGGCAAGGTAGACTAGCAAACATGCCCAACCTTTACTCACATTCGAGAAAACACTCCCAACAAGTTTGCTTGCTCCAAAATCGAAGAGGCACCGCCCTCCGAATCTCGAGAGCCAGACTCCCAACATGATTACTTTCTCAAAAATCGAAGAGACACCGCTCTCCGAATCTCGAGAGCCAGACCCCCAGCATGATTGCTTTCTCAAAAATCGAAGAAGCATCGTTCTCCGAATCTCGAGAGCCAGATCCCCGATAGGATTGCTTGTTCGAAAATCGAAGAGGCAACACTTTCCCAACTTCAAGAGCCGGATCTCCTTGGATAAAGCTGTTTATAATCTTCACACGCAACATCACCTTTCCAGATACCACAGACCACTTTTTCAAAGTGCTCTGACAGAGTTAAAACATGTGAAGCTGGCAGCTCCCACTACCGTGCTATGACCAAGTAGGGTAAAGGAATAGCATTACTACTTGTTGTTAAGGAGATTCCTATATATGTCGACCTCCATCCCCAACGGACAGGCAGACCTGCAAAAATGCTCAACCCTTCCTCATATCTGAGAGGGCACTCCCAACGAAGCCTTTCGAAATATTCAGCTTTCTTTCCCCCCGATAATATCTCTGCAAACAAGCTATACTAGAGCAAGAATATCTCATATCATCAGGGTTAAAAGCAAGAGTATCCCATATCATGCTTTTTCCCTGTCTTTTCCTTTGGCCTTGTTCTTATCTGCAAGACAAGGAGAAAGAGAGCAATCAGTCAGCACTTGGAATCAAGCTTCCAGCCAGGAACTGACTGCCTGGAACCCCTTACCTGATTACTTACCTGCCATTGCTCTCGAGTACTCATCTTCAACATCTTATGCTTCCAGGGAAGATACCGCATCTGCCTGAGGAACAGATAGGGCAAGGGAGAAGGATACAAGGAAGCATGTGGAGACAAGCGTAAACAGCACACGTGCCGATACATCCATTACTCTGTCAAAGCAAAAGTATCCCATATCAGCAGGGTCGAACGTACTCTAGATTTGATGGACTTGTTTTGACCCTCAAATTCTTCAGTCGGCCTTATACTCTGGAGGAAACCAGAAAACCCTCCAACTCAGTTCAAGAATAAGCCTGTGGAAAGTTACTTCTTCAAAAGCAAAAGTATCCCATATCATCTCTTCTCATTTTCTTCTCTTTATCCTTCATGCTGCCTGCAAGATAGGGAGAATGTGAACAATCAGCCGGAGCTCTGATTGCTTACCTTGTCTGTCACCTCTTTCAGCAGATCCCCTAGCTCGGCGACTTGGGGGACTCCTACTACATGGTTTGTATCGCGCTTGACCAAGCCTGAAACTACAAGTAAGCTTCAAGTGAAATTGATACATTACCTTGTGCATCTCCACCAGTTAAAGATACCACCCCTAGATGGAGGAAGAGTACTTCCAAAGAAGATGCCACATCTACCTATGAGACAGATAAGGCAAGTCAAGATGATACCGCACTCCGATACTTAGAAGTTTCGTGATTACGAGATCATTCTCCCACAATATTTCCTAATGTCATTCGTACTAAATCATTCACTTGTACTCACTAAAGGAGAGCTTGAACCTATGTACTTGTGTAAACCCTTCACAATTAATGAGAACTTCTCTATTCCGTGGACGTAGCCAATCTGGGTGAACCACGTACATCTTGTGTTTGCTTTCCTGTCTCTATCCATTTATATACTTATCCACACTAATGACCGGAGCAATCTAGCGAAGATCACAAAAAGCGACCGTTTTCGCTACCTAGGATCTATCGTGCAAGAGAACGGAGAATTAGATGGATATCTCAACTATAGAATACAAGCTGGATGGATGAAGTGTAAGAGTGCATCCGGCGTGTTGTGTGACCGTCGTAGGCCACTGAAGCTCAAGGGAAAATTTTATAGGACGGCAATAAGGCCAGCGATGTTGTATGGCACAGAATGCGGGCGGTGAAGCATCAACACGTACACAAAATGGGTGTGGCGGAGATGAGGATGCTTCGTTGGATGTGTGGGCACACGAGAAAGGATAAGATTGGGAATGAGGATATCCGAGGTAAAGTAGGAGTAGCCAAAATTGAAGGAAAGATGAGAGAAAATCGGTTCCGGTGATTTGGACATGTGCAAAGAAGGCCTACTGACGCTCCGGTTCGAAGATGTGACTATGGGACAGAGGTTCAGGGCCGAAGGGGTAGAGGAAGACCTAGGAAAACTTTGGAAGAGACTCTAAGAAAAGACTTAGAGTACTTGGATCTAACGGAGGACATGACACAAAACCGAGCGCAATGGTGTTCTAGGATTCATATAGCCGACCCCACTTAGTGGGAAAAGGCTTTGTTGTTGTTGTTGTTGTTGTATATAAAGCCATTTCTGATTTTTGCTTTCTTTTGGTTGATGTGTTCTTAAAAAGACCTTTTGGTACAAATGTTTTCTCAAATTCTTGTACTTGAGAAGCGGAACGGGTTGTCAAGCGGCCGCTACTGGTTTGTGCTTACTGTGTAGAGTGAGCCATTGAACGGTAAGATAGTTCGTAGTAGAAATCATACGATAACATAACAGAGTCAACTATATTACAGGCAGCCCCACAAAGTAACCTTATGCCAGTTTTCCAGTAACTATTGTACAATGATTTCTGTTACCATTTACGTACACACTTGAGGTTCATTTTGTACACATAATTGGATTCTATACATGATTGGTGCTACCATTACTGTACACATGATTGCTGTCTAGTGAGTTGGTGTTGGTGGAATATGCTTAAAAAAATTTAAAATGTTTAATCCCATGTTCTATAGTACAAGTTGTGTACGTGTGAGTTTGAAACAATTTCCCTAATGAAAGTTATTACATGAATGTTTTACGCTGGTCTTTTAATGTTCCCCCGTCTTCAGGTGTATGCCTAGAAGGAAAACGAAACAATTTTTCCAATCAAAGTTATCAGTTATCGTATATGTTTTCTTTGTCTATGATAGTGGCGGAGCGAGAAATTGTACAACGATAGGGTTATAAAATGGAAGCTTCCAAAAATTTGCAACCCCAAATGGAGCACTACGCGTGCAAGGTCTCGACCGTGGTGGGTTATTGCAGGAAGGAAGCCACATTGTGAAAAACATATCAATGGAACCCAATGCTTGTGTTTTTGGTGTCCTTAATTCTTGTAGGATGCACAAGAATACAGATATTGCAGAAGAAATCGCCATCAACGTTATCACTATGAACTTTGAAATGACCAGGAGCTACATTATGCTGTCGATTATATATGCTGCTAGCGGGAGATGGGAGGAGTCATCAAAGTTGAGGATCTCAGCGAAGACAAAAGGGTTGAAAAACATCCGGGGCGAGTTGGATCAAGGTGAAACGATAAGTTCTTTATGTTCTCGGCAGGGGACACTATGCAAGTAGGCTTTGAGTTGATTTGAGGTATCCTTCAAGACTTGGCGCTTCAGATGGAGAGTGAGGGTTATTTGCTCAATAAGAGAATGATTCAACATAGCTGGCTACAAATGTAAACATTTCCAAATGATAAATTGGATTGCGTTATTCTTGGAAACTTCAGTTATACTATCAATATCAATGTGACCATACTATACTATATGCATTGTTGCAATTTGCCACCCCCAACAAAGAAAACTAGTCCATTAATTTGTTATGTTGTTGCGGTATGCCACCTAAAAGCCTAACTCCATCTATTCTTTCGTCCAAAAAGTTGTGAGTGATTCGCACTTGACCTTTTTATTAATGTCTAGAATATCGGTACCAACTTAGTTTGAACATTCATGCGTAAATCACATGCAACTTTATGAATGGAAAAATTGATGAAGTTAGCCGTAGGTGGCACAATGCAACAAAAATTTAACTGAGATCTGTAATGTTTAAGTAGTGTTGGTTTAATTTTCCCATTGTTTGGAGGGCCAAAATCTGTTTTTAGATGTCCTAAATTTTGGGTTTAGACCCTTAAGCATTGGACATGGTCTTATTCTACAAAATTAAAAATTTCTTTATGGGGGAAATTGTGCGTTCTCATATCCGTTTACCAAACTTAATAACACCAATAGGAAAAATACTAATTAATTAAAAGAATTGAGCTAAAAAAAGATGATTGGTTCTGTGCGAGCTCAACAACTGGTAAAATATGTGAGGATGAATAAGAAATTCTTATCGTGTGGGGCAACTAGGGATTTCTAGCTCAAGTGGTAAAACAACTTTACCCTCAAACCTAACCCAACTATCTACCTCAATTTAAAAATAAAAACTGAATAAATAAATAAAAAACATTAGGATGACATGAGTAATTCTGTGTTTGTCACTAAGAACCTTTGTTGATGATCACCATTAATATCGATCACCTCCCCATTATTTCTCTCATGATCGTCACCACAAGCAATCTGATCAACGAACGGCTTCAAATCCTCACATACATTGGTAATCCCATTCATCCCACCACCACATTGCTTGATACCCAAGCAAGAGACAGAATCCTGCATGGCCCACATGCTCAAGTCTTCATGCAAATGCTGATGTGGATATGGATGTGGGTCCCCATTAGTAATGTCACTATTGTTGTTGCTATTAGTATTGTTTTGAACAAGCACATAAGGCACTTGTTGTTGTTGTTGTTCTTGTTGCAGTGCAACTGCATGGTGAGGAGGCTGAGGTTGTTGAATGTAATAAAAATGCCCTATTGGGTTGCCGTACAAGCTCCAAGGGTCCACAACTTTCAACGGATCGCACGCGTTTTGATCTCCGATTTCGGGCATTGGAATCTGGTTTTGGTGTTGTTGTTGATGAACTTGTTGTGCCTGTGCTCTGCATATGGCTAGCTGGTGAAGAACAATGTCGAGCTCGGCCTTGTTGTACTCGATCAAGCGCTGCAGCTCACGAATGATTCTGTAGCAACCGCCAACAGGGTCGTTGGCGCGAACGTCAGACTGGAAGATGATGGTGCGCATGGCATCGTCCTTGTCCGGCTGGTCAAGGTGTTTGATGATTTTCTTGATGTTGCTGACACCGAAGAGCTTGTGAGCGTTGAGGAACTGGCGCTGGCGGTCGTGGGCAAAGTAGGGGGCTAGAATGCAGTCGGAGGCGCACTTTCTGCGCTGGTATTTGCACGCAGCGCAAGCCTGCGTGTTGGCGTTGGCGTTGCCTTTGGTTGGTGGTGTTGTGGTTGTTGTCGTGGAAATGTGATGAGTGTGTTTATGGCTATGGCTACTACTACTCATGATAAATTTCTTTGCTTTTTTGGGGGGTTGATGCGTTGTTGGTGCTGTTGGAATCGGATGCGTTTCCGGCGGGGGTGGTAGAGGCGGTTTTTTTTCTTGATGAGGCTTTTTTTTCTGGGGGTTTCCCTTATTTTCTCAATGGAAATGAAGAGGGAAGGGGGAATGAGGGATGGGGAGAGATGAGAGGAAAGGTGGACACATAAGAGAGACAGAAGGGCATAGATCTTAACGGTTTCTGTTGGGAAGTTTTTGATATTTTTGGCTAATGAAATGTGATTAATTTAGGTTGGTGTCTTAATCTGATCATTAGCCAAAAATAGAGAGAGGTTGTTGGTCTGTTTTTTGGGTAAAACCAGATAAGCATTGCACAAATCAGAACTATCACACAATATGTGCAAGCAAGTAATCTTAATTTCAATAAAACTTATGATCAACGAGTTAATAAGCGTTGAGGTATGGAAAATATTACTACACGTTTCACACATGGTCTAACCCCTTGTGAGGGTGCGGGTGTGGGTGTTTATGCGCGGCCACACATAAGAATTTCTCCATGCGCAATGTATGTTAAGTTCAGAGCTTAGAGGAGTGTGCACAGGAGTCCGTCCAGGTCTCCGGTCTGATGAACAAAGTAGCAAACTCGAGTGAAATTATAATCGGCTTGGGTTTGACAGTACATAATGCGAAAAAGAAGAGAGATTAGGGCAAGTTTTGCGTATGTTTTGTAATGCATTTCACATCAACGTTGGCACCGTGAGGGAGCATTTTGACATGAGGTTTTAGACTAAAAGTCTGGGATTTATGTTCGTGATTCGAGTATCATCGGCCTAAAACGTGCACAAAAACAACGGCAGGAGATTTGATAGCTTACGAAGGAACCAAAAAGTGTCAGTAAACCTCCATCTCGTTCCATGAAATTGTCTATAGATACAAAGAGCAGAAGAAATGACAACACCTCAGCAGCTAAAATCAGATACAGAAATCAGCCTCAATGTACAACAATAACTTTAAAAATCTGCTCAATAACTAATGAACATATAGTACACCAGAAAACAAAAACTATCCAAAGCTCGCCCATGCTTCCTCTTGAATTTCGGCAGTTGTGACCTGAATTCATGTTTCAAAATGGTGGTAAGTAGCTTGTTCCATAACGCTTTGGAGATCGTAAACAATAAACACGCAATTCCTTATTCTGATTTCTGAGACGGGTGAAGTCAGAAACAGCAAAGAGCATATATATAGTTACTTGATCGAAATTCTGAAACAGCAAGGCGCCAAATGCCAAGGAAAAAACAATTACGAGTTCTACTTTTAGAAGGAAGGAAAGATGGCTTTACAATTCACAAACAGCTACGGCTCAGACTTGAGGAGGTCTTCAACAGATTTTCTGTACTTGGTCATCAAGTCCCTGGAATTCAATTCGATAACAAGAACAAAAGCAACATGTCATATAATTGAATCAAGAAACCAATATATTTACGTAGTCTTAGTACATCCAACAGAGCACTCGAGTGTACACACCTCCTCTGATGCAACGATTGCTCACTTTCTTCCAACTTTCGCTTCTGTCCCTCAACCGTCTACAACCAAAAGCCACACAAATCTTCAACATTCCACTCCAATACTAAGAAAAAACTACCATGCTATATAGTGTGGCATGTTCCGCTACCAAATTATTAACCCGAATCATTGGCCATGCTTAAATTCATGAACCAAATGGACTGACAACATAACATGCCGGATATCTTAAGCAAGACCACATTACAGATAAAACTATCACACTAAACAATGTCATACCCCATTGATTATTCTGCAACCAAACAATCAAAACAACTCAATTACCATGGCCTTGGTGCCGATCGATCCAGATATGGAGTTGAGCAGCTGCTGGCACTTCTCAAAATGGTTCTTCAGATCGCTAACCTATCAGAACCCATAACACAACTCATAAATTCAGCCCTAAATTCATCACAAAACTTCAAAATAACAACTCTAACAAAAAAAAATATTCAAATAAAAACCCCAATTACAAAATAATACCAATGCATCAGACTGCTGATCCCTAGTTCCATTCTCGATCGTGTCAGCTAATTTCTCCACCAACTGCATTATACCAAACCAAACCCAACAAAACTAAGCAAAAATTCAAAACCAATAAGCATGTATGATTGTACGTACATACATACATACATATATATATATAAATGTTAGGGTTTTTGAATTTGGGTACATGGAAGAGATGGAAATGTGAGGCGAGCGACTGGTGATGCTGCTGCTGCTGTTGTTGCTGTTGTTGCTGTTGCTGCTGCTGCTGTTGTTGTTGAAGAAGAAGACGCTGCTGCTGCTGTTGAAACTGCTGTTGCTGTTGCTGCTGCTGATGATGGAGGTACATATGGTCCTGGCTCGACGGCGTAGAGGGGTTACTGTGAGTCGGCACGCTTGGAATCATATTCCAGCTTCCTCCTCCTCCGCCGCCGCCACCGGAGTACGAATGTTCCATTCTCTCTCCGCCGTACAGATTCTCCGGAAATGGAAAAAGGTTTGAACTTTGATTTGTGCACTGCAGACGGCAGAGATTGAATCGAACAAGAAGGAACCTGGTACGGTTCGACATGTCGTACGATTATATGACTAATTGGGCTGATAAAGATTGGGCCTTTAGCCCAAATGCAGCCCGGTGCAGAAACTACGTCGTTTGTAGGAGAGGGGACTGAGGGCATTGCCCTTGTGAAGAGTTGCAGACCCCAATTCTAGCTTCCGACGAGTTGGGAGTTATATAAAAGGCGGGGCAGCGCTTGGATTTCCATCTTCCCCAAATTTTCCTTGCAGACAATAAAAAGTTTTTAACTTGCGCAGGAATCGGGCTTCTTTTCTTTGGGAGGTTCGTTTTCTACCTCCATCATGTATGTATGTATGCAAGTATGTATGGATGAATGCATGTATGCGATGTTGGTATTGGAAATGTTGTGATTTTGGGTGATGAAATTTTATGATGATATGTGAAATTACCATCTGGGTATTTGTGATTTGATTGCTTTATGCAAAAGACACCTACTTTCTGAGGTTAGGAGTCTGATTGAAAGATGGGAAATTGTTGCAAGGAGAAATGTTGTCTGTTGACCCATTCGATTTCTCTGTGATTTTTTTATTATTTTTTTATGTGATATTTTGTATTGAGCTACATGTTATGCTGCAACATTGCGCCAAGTAAATTGCAGTCTGCAACAAACTCCATGCCTGCGAAAGTTGTATGTTGATGGACTCTTTACCATTTTGTTTCAACTAGTTTGAAGGCTTTTGTGTTGCTGAAAACGCCTCGTCTAAGAATTTCGTATGATGAGAATATTTTCTAGGAGTAGGAGGTCCATGAAATGAAATTCTGCAGAAGGTTAGTATTTATAGAGATTTCCATTTGGGAGACGCATTCGGTTATCGTGCATTCATGTAGGACATGAGAACCATTTGAAGCATATGCCCCTTTCAGTTTCAGATGCGGTGCTGCGTAATCTGTGATTGCTGCTAAATTTATAGCAGGAGTATACGGTGTAATGCATGATCATCGTCATTTATCAATTCCTGGTGTGGAATGCATAATTTTTAAGTTGAGGTTTTCTTTGGCCCAACAAGAAAGAGTCCAATACCGATGGAAATTTGCAGGTAGCGGGATAAGATATGGCAGTAAAACCAACAGTTGCCTTGAGAGCTATGTTAGTGGGAGGGATAGCTGCATTTGCCAAAGTAGCTGGTGTAGTCAAGGCTGCCGGTGGTGCCAAGGTGGGTGTGGCGGCAGCTGCCATGACAGCAGCAGCAACTGCAGCTGTAGGAACAAGACAAGACGACGCGAAGAAGCAAATGGAATGAGTTTTTTCTTTAGATGTAATCTGTAATTTCTGTAGCATTAGTGTTGGCTGTCCTGGTGCGTCGCGGGAACAGATTTGCTGCATTTGATTTGGAATTTTTGAATGTAAGACAATGTTGAAACACTTGAAATAAACGAGATGACTTCCTAATTAATCTCAATTTACTCCACATACAATCTGTACAACACAGGTTTCTTTTATTTTCTCGTTTTTCCTACCGAACAAGAAACCGTGTACACTGCCACCCTGTTAATTATTATTGACAAACACTGTAGTAAAATTTTCCGAATGATCAGCATTTCTAAATGGAGATCTACAGTCCGGTTCTCCATGTTTTCATACACGAACATCTCATGTTAACAGTGGCACTAAAGCTGATGCACATTCGATTTCCCTTGACCACAAGTGAAGTCTGGCTGATCAACAAAGCGTACCACAAGCTCCGGGTTTGGGGACTCTAACTCAAATATGACCTGTGCAATCGTAAAACAGAAACAAGTGGATGTTCAAGCCGAAGTAAGCACTGAAAAAAAATAGGAGAAACGAATTGTTTTTTTGTTGCAGCCACTGGAAACAGAAGAAGATAACTCAGTTCAAAATAAGTGACAGAATAATAACTTTTGGATCTCATACCACAACATTATTCCCACGATGAAGGACAGGAGCGGGAACATAGAGGTTACACTGCGGTCCCTTTAACTGCAAAATGGAACATATTTCAAAATCTTAAAGAGAAAGAATCAATGTTCTGTAACCAACACACAGGAAAATTTGTACGACAAGGGAAATGGAAGCATTGTTTTACCGGCCAAAATCTTCCGATGTTGAAATTGTTAATAGTTACTATCCCTTTCCCCCAGTCACTCAATGATATGAATGTATCTTTGATTTCGTCCTCTTTGCTGATAGAAATATATCCAGCATAGAATGCTGGCACGTTCGAATCATTCCCTGAAAAGGAAAGCAAATGTTTTTAATCATTGTTTCTCTTGATTACAATTGCGACCTAGCTTATGTCGTGGTTTTGCAACATTGTATGGGAAAGAACATGGAGAATGTATTTGGGACCATACCAGACTTTTTTGGTTTTAATCTTTTGCGCGCTGACATAGTAATGACTCCAGAATGTGAAGCCTGAATTATGGGATTGATTTTAGGAACCTCATTCAGATTTCCTATAGGTATCAAATGCATTTTCCATCTTCGGAGAATTCTCCCGTCAAGATAAACAGGAGATAGAATACCCTGAAAAAGAGAGTACGAAATACCAGTCAAATATCGTCAATTACGCTAGGAAGCAACTTGCTTTTCAGATGTCAAGAGATAAACTGACAGAACTGCAATTCTAGACTTCAGTTAGATGCCAAATGGTACAATTGAGTACTGACTTTACCTTCCTGTCAAAGATATATGGTCCATAATTTAGACGGCCCATGTTTTCAACCTATAAGAACAGAAGAACAGAATATATCAAATTAGGGGGAAAAATCTGCTGAGACATATTTGATGTTAAGAAATGAAAGTACGAATGAACAGAAAAACAAATAGAGACGATATTCAAGTACCAACACAAATAAGCTGATGTTAGAGTGACATTTCATATTAGGAAGGGTTAGAGGTTGATTTGACCATCTTTCAAAAGTGCCAACATATTTTGGTCTTCCATGACCATCTTCAGAAGAGCACGTTACAAAAACTTGGGCTCTGTCGTGCACCTGCAAGTTCAAACCCGAAAAAATTAGTAAAACATTGTTGGCTATTTTATACACACTCAACATATGGTAGATAGATGTGTGGCTTGGACTCTGAATAATTGTAATGTCTACAGTAATGAACAGGTAATTAACTTTATATAGTAAGGGAAAGCTGCACCTTTGGTATGGATACAACTCCGCCACCATTGTCTTTTGCAGCATACTCAGTCACGTATAACATAAATCCGAACATCTGAAAATAAGAAGCATTCATCTCAGTGTAATAATTATATCACATGATCACCATGAGCAATTGCAAACAAGTATAAAGCTACAAAGACATAATTTTACATACCTGTCCCGCTGACTCCATAGATATTGGGCTCTCGGATTCAACCACATCAAAGTAGTGGATCATATCAAATAAAGTCCCTGTTTTAGTTACATTTATGGATCCATATGCTTTCTTCTCATTATCGGCTGGAACTGCAGGGATAGATCCTAAACTGTGTTGCTCTATGACCCTCCTAATTGCTGAAAGCAGTACAACATTTATGATAAGCAATCTTGTTGCAAATTTTCAGTATCACATAGCAAGAGGATTTCACTCTTGTATCAACAAATTTACAGCTTGCAGCGATACCTTTGAATTTTGCATTGTTTACATCCCCAGATTCCCTGATTGGTGCATCCTGGGAAAATAAGGTGTTTCAGTTTTGAGTTTATAGTTTGTAGCTCAAATTAATATCAAGTTACAACAAAGAAGAAAAATCTTCCTCACATAATCATAGGAAGTGAGGTCGGGCTTGTAATCAGACTCGTCTGAACCACTATTTGCTCCATTATAAAACCCAAAGTTTGTTCCCCCATGTGCCATCTGGAATTTAAAATTTTAAAGTTAACGAGCTTTCCCATAAAGATATACTTGAAAGAAGGAAAACTATGACTTTTAGAACATACATAAAGCACTGCAGAACCATTTCTTTCCAAAATCTTTTTCAAGGCAGCTGCTGTAAAAGCAGCATCAGTCTGCGCATTCTTCTCTCCCCAATGTGTAAGCCAGCCTGTGTAAAACTCTCTGATGCAAACATTATGAACATTTTGACTGACGCCAATGAAATTATTTGACCAACATGAAACTTACGAAGAAAGTGGTGGTGATTTCCCGGGGGCATTGAACTCCTTTTGCAACTCAAATATAGGCCAAGGATCATCACCAGTAGTGAAGTCAACAGCTGCAAAAATAAAGGTCAGGTTATAAGCAGAACACACACGATAATGATAAACTAATGATCAAGCTATATGCACCAAGGTGTTTAATGTGTAATAGTTTACGTTGAAGTTGAATTTACCTGAAAAGACAGCATCTCCACGAATTGTTCCTTTCTCAAGTGTTTCCCTAGAACCTCCATCCGTAGTATACCTAAAAACCATTCCATTTTCTCTAAGTGGTGTAATTATAGCACCTTTCTTTCGTATATTTTAGTTGGAAATTGGAATCCAAATAGTTGGATAACGGTTAAAACTTAAAACTAGGTCATATTTATAGGCAAAATTAGCAAACACCATGAATGAATCATGACTGCTCTGTGGCATACACATCAAAATAGCAATAAAACACATCTCTGAAGAACAATGAACATAAAGCAGAATGACTTACAAAATTGCATCTTCCCCAAGGTGCTTTCTAGCCACTGACACCAAGTGGTGAAGATAAGCTTTGTCGTCCCCATATGATCCAAATTCATTTTCAATCTGTCAGAAAAAAATACTATTTTACTGTAACTTTCCAAGAATACCATCTCAAAGTATCAAAGATTTTGAATCAAATTTGACAACTTTTAACTATAACTAAGACACCTCTAAGATGATATAAAGATCAAAGTAATGCTATCTGTTAAGCATCATGGAGAAAGGCCAAGCCGAAAATTAAAGATCCACATACCTGAACCATTATAACAGGACCTCCACTTCCATAAAGAAGGGGAGCTACCTTTGGAAGCAGGATTCCCCACCATGTATCCACCTTAAAGTTCACATTGAGTCCCGTATCAAAACCATGAAGAATTATCAGACATTTGCACCAAGAGAAATGATCAGAGATATGGTGCACAAAGATTCTTTTGATGAGTAATAAGTTTACTGAAATGTGCCACAGGGTTACAATGCGGGAACAAAAACAAAGAAACAAATCGGAAACTAAGAATAAAACCATAAGAGGATAGAATCTGGTAAAAAGTAGCAATTACGATTTCTTTTTATTTCATCATTTGTTTATTTTGGTAAGTACTTGAATATCAAACTGAAATCACCAGAATTCAGAAGACAGTACCTTTTAATGAAAACTTACATTCACTAGACTAGACCAATGCATTCTAAATAGTACATAAAAGATAATCCAAAAGGAAAACATACCAACCGAAGGAAAGTGGGATCTGATGATCGTAGTCTGGGAGCTGGATTGATGGAAAGTAACCAAGGAGGGAAACCTCCCAAATCCCACTCTGCAATATAAGCACAAAATTATTATCACCAGTTTGGTTATATCATCACTAACACCAAAATTAATGGCAACTAAATGATTAACAAATGCAAAAACAACAGGGACTGAAATATTCGAATAATTTTCAGACATTCAAGCGTGGCAGTAGAACAGTTAGAGCTATGAATTAAAAGACCAATTAAAGGATTCCATTTAGGTTCCATACAAGAAACACTCCAGTAACAAGATGCATAGTAGGGTAACACAGGGGCAGAGGGCATGTATATATTTAACCTAAATCTGACACAGTCAGTCACTACTGACCTGCACATATATATGGTCCAGGTCGAAGCATTACAAGAATACCCAGCTTCTGGGAGAGTTTGAGAAATGCAACCAAATCTGCAATACCGTCAAAATCCAAAATACCAGCTCTTGGTTCATGTAGGTTCCAGGGAACATAAGTTTGAATCGTATTTAATCCCAATGCCTTTGCTCTCAACAACCTATCTTCCCAGTACTGCATTAATAAAATATAACGTCCCAGATCACCACACCAATAGAAGAAAGCCTTCACTAAACATAAATATATGGAACGGCCTATGATCAAGATGCTTTTTCAACTTAATGTGCATTTAATGCTTCAATTAAGTAGTGCATCCGTGGAATATGATCCACGACTAGGTTCACCTAGAATTTTTTCTGAAGTCGTCTTCGATTCATGGACTTTTTAATCCATGTTCCACTGTTTAGCTCATGTAATACAATGTATATGCCTGTAGATTTCACCTTGTAGTACTATAACTTAGTGATTTTAAGGAGGAGAACAACACAGATTTTATTTATCTCATTGCTTCCCACTACAGTTTTCTCTCTCAAATGAAAATTTTCAGAAAAAAACTCTAGAGATTTCACAACTTGTTCATACATTCAGGGACATGATTTACTAGGATTCATTGGCAAGCAGATATTTCTTTGCAGTATAAGATCAAA